CATTTTGTTGCCAGTCTCAGGTAAAATTTTGTATACACTAGGTAGTGGTCTGAGTCTGCATCAGCTCCTCTATACGTTCTCACATTCCTTATGCATCCCTTAAATCTCCTGTCGATAAGTATGTGGTCAATTTGATTAAATGTTCTTCCATCAGGGGATTTCCAAGTGAATTTGTGTATACTTTTTCTGGAATGAAMTTTTTATGAACTGCTTATTATACAATTTTTTGAATGTGAAAAATTTATCAGTTTTGTCCCATTTCCGTTACTAATTTCGTGTAAACTGTTAGGTCCTATGACCGGCCTATATATACTCGTATTTTCCCTTCCAACCTTCGCGTCCATATCACCTACTACTATCTTTATACAGTGCAACGATAAAGTGTCATATACCATGTCTAGTTCTTCATAGAATTTGTCCTTTATGTCTTCATCTTTTTCCTCTGTTGGGGCATAGCAGTTTATGATAATTAGGTCAAATATCTTTCCCGCTAAACGAATAAAGCAAATTCTATCATAAAAGGATAAAAAGGTCTTGACATTCGGTAGGGTCCTGTCGTGTACTAAAAAACCTACTCCATTTTCAYGTTTTCGATTAGTAGTGCCACTGTAGAATATTGTTATATTGTCTTTCTTTAACTATATTATTTACAATTTTTATATTTTATTTTGTAGTTCTGCCTCTGTGATGAACTTGATGGTAGCTGAAAGTAAATAACTGTTTTGACTGAGTGACTATTTTTATGTTTTATTATTTATTAATAGTAATAATAATGAAATAATGTCATCTTAAAATCTTATGGCATGGTAAAACAGACAAAAGTAAACAGATTTAAAATTTAAATGATTCTTATAATGTATTCTGAATAGATTTTAACTTTATTGGCTTATAGATGAATTAATAATTATAACTCATCAGATCTTAATGTTTTTGTATTTATATAACTAATTATAAAATCTATTAACATCGAAATCGTTATGAAACAAAATAGATATGATTTGATGAACTTCAAACATTATTCTATATCTTGTTGTAATATCGTTATACAATTTTATCAGAATTTGGACCTCTACAAATACCAATAACTATTTATTTATTATTCAAAAGTAGTAGAATATAACTATTGATTTTTAAAACGAATTTATTTTTTATAACTCACTTTTGTTCGAAAAACTCATGAATATTAATTATATCGTTACGCAGAGAAAAAAATGGTTGCTTTTCAAATATTTAACTTAAATTGTTCAGGAATAGGTAGTAGTTAAACAATAATAAAAAATTAAATTCTAAATTAATAAACGTGCTTAAAATTTAAAAAAAAGTATACACTTATTTATAATATCATAATACTATTGTTTTTAAATAATAGTGTATCAATATACCTACTACCAGCTTGTATTGAATCTCTATAATATAATATATAATATCCATTATTGTATTTATAGTACGTATTATTAATTACTTATAATAACATTTTAAATAATAATATAAATGTATAGGTAATAACTTAAAATAATTTAAAATGTTTTCCTAAATATAATATTTCAATACTTACAACAAGGGTATACAAAAATATAAAAACTAAAATTTATGTTGGTGGAAAATGGAAATATATATTATTATAATACTGATGATAAACGGAAAATTCGATTAAACGATGAACTTATGTGCGTGGAATTTGATCAAAGATGGGGTCATATTTGTTTTGAGTGGTTTTTTTTTTTTGTGGAAAATTCACATATTTTACTTCAAAGAAGTCATTTTTAATGTCCCAGTTACTTAAATAATGCATTCGTGATATGTAAATTCTTTAAAATTGTAAGTTTATATCTACTCACAGCAATATTTTCCAGAAATGATATTATTCATAAGGATGTATTCAGATAAATCACAATAATAACAAAATACTRGCTAATTATATTATATCGAGGTGATTCATATAAAAGGAGTATCCTTAGATAGCGTTTTATTATAATAATTTGAATGAAATCTTTAATTAAGTCCAAGATTAAGATTCTTGAATAATTAYTYCATGCCATATCGTAATTAACTGATATTATATTATTTATATCATAATACAAGTAAAAATAAATTATTATTATTTCAAGAAAATGTATAGGTTATTTTTGAAGAACCTAGGTTTCACAGTGTATTTTAACCAAATGATTAATACAACATTGTTTCATATGAGTCAGATTAAGATAAAATAAGCATAGTTTGTTGGTTTATCCTTAAAGGCGAATAGTACAAGTACTTAATTTCAAACAACGAAAATATTTATCGAAGGAACCCATTRAAGTATTATTTTGGAATTCTACAAAAGGCCCGATAAACAATGACATTTAGATTTTTGATTATAACTTATATTATTTACATTATAATGAAAATAAAGAAAAATAATATTTATGAAAGAGAATNCTTTTTTGAAAATTGGACATATCAATGACTCATTCCATTCTTTTGGTATCTTTTCCTTTATCCATATCTGTTGGATTAGGTCATGTAAGTTTTTTGTTAAGTTTTGTCCTCCTAACTTCAGTAACTCAGCGGCAATTTTATCATCTCCTGGAGACTTATTATTTTTTAGAGTTTGTATCGCATACTGTATCTCTTCTAGACTAGGACTAGGTACTTCTKGTTCCGCTGTGTAGTATAAGGTGTCGTCTTGTTCACCTATTCCTGTTGTTGAGTCTCTGTTAAGGATTTTTTCAAAGTACGATCTAAATTCCTCGGCAATATTTTCCGGTTTTGTAATTAGGGTACCATTATTATCTTYTATCATCCGTATATTAGGTACAAATCCATTTTTAAATGTTTTGCAACGTTTGAAGAATTCTCTGGGGTTGTGTTTAAGGTTTTCGATGTCTTCCAATCGTTCTTTTTCTGCTATCCTCTTTTCTTTTCTTAYCAGTGTATTCACTTCTCTTCTTTTGTTTTCGAAGTCCCTTATGTTTTCTGGAGTTGGTGTGTGTATTGCTTTGATTCTAGCTTCATTACGTTCCCTGATTACTTGCTTRCAATTATCATTAAACCATTTCTTTGTTTTTTTTCTTTGTGTAAGTTGGATAACTTTTTCTGCTGATTCCGTTATTGAGGTCTTAATTGCTATCCATGATTCTTCAATCTGTTCTGTGTCGAAGCCCTCTCTTCTTCCTAAGAGATTTGTCACTGTTTCTTGATATGTCTGTAATGTTTCCTTGTTTTTTAATTTATCCACATCATATTTTTCAAGTATTTTTTGCTTCTTTTTCCATTCCATTGACATCTTTACTCTGAAGTCAATTAGGATTAAGTAATGGTCTGTGTCTGCGTCTGCTCCTCTGTAGCTTCTGACATTTTTTATAATCGTTTTATGTTTATTTTCTATGAGGACATGATCAATTTGACTACTATACCTGCCTCCCGGGGATAGCCACGTTTCTTTATGGATATTTTTCCGCGGGAATCTTGTACTGCTTACTACCATATTTTTACTTATTGCAAAGTTAATTAATCTTACTCCGTTATCGTTGCTTCGGTCATGTAAGCTATGTTCTCCAATCGTCGTTTTGTATGTATTTTCTTTACCCACTTGAGCGTTCATATCTCCCAATAATACTTTAATGCAATGACTTGGTATAGTGTCATATACTTGTTCCAGCTCTTCATAGAAGGCATCTTTCGCTTCTTTATTTCCTGATTCGGTTGGTGCGTATGCGCAAATAATAATCATGTCTCGGTGGTTCATATTAATCCGGATGTAACATATTCGGTCATTAATAGCCTTGAATTGTTTAACCCATGGTATTAGGCTATTGTGTACAAGGAAACCCACACCATTTTCATGTCTATTTGTTGTTACACCACCATAGAATAATGTCATGTTACATGTTGCTATACATCCTTCGCCTTGCCATCTCGTTTCTTGTAACGTTACTATATTTACCTTTTATCTATCTATTGCATCGACTAGTATACCAAGGGCTCCTGCTTTGTATAAAGTTTTTACATTCCATGAGCCAATCCTAAATCCTTGTAGTCCAGGCCGTTTCCGTTGTGTTTTGTCCAGATCTCTGTCCCGAGGCTTTAGTTTTGGTTTCTTAACAATTAGATTTTTTACAGTGACGGGTTGTTAGCCCGTCGCCAAACCCCCAACCTGGAGGACCAGATCGAGCCAGCTAGCTAAAGCCAGCTCGTAGCTCGGGGCTCCGGGTTCACCAAACCCGTAGTGCTAATTACTTAGCACCCCCCTGGGGGAAAATAAATAAATATAACTAATTATATTTCAATACAATTATGAACAAAGTTACCAATAAACTATGATAGAAAATTGATTATAATAAATAACCGATGTTGTAAGTATAATAGTATATAATATATAGCTATATTATTAGTAAGTTCAATATTGAAATTAAATTGATATTTGTGGACGGTTGTACATAACTCATATACAATCTAATTATAATATTATTACAAGAGTTGTTATCAGAAAAAAAAAAAAATACAACATTCAAATTTATTGTTCATGATTCTTATATAGATACATATTATTATTTTATATAATCTGAAAAATAAAAATGTTAACAATAATAATAAACATTCAACTTGGCTACTTGGGTTGRGTTACGRCTATTAGAAGTACCAGGYCATACCTACTTTATATTCTACTTTGATCCAAAAAATATACGTCTAAACAGATGAAAGTGTATAATACAAAACTGTTTATGTCATMATATCATTTTTAGAACAACCCCTATTTGACCTATGGTGTAGCGGAATATAAACCTTGTCTCAWGCCACTCTCTGTGGTACCACATGTGCAGATGATGTAAATACCCTAGGTCTTTTGAAGATTAATTTAAATCGAAAACTAATAATTTATTTACAGTCCCCCAGGCCACAGTAGCTCCACCAAAAAAAAACCCATATGAACTTTGCAAAAAAACATTCTTGTATAATATTATATTTACATACTCGAGTGTATATATTATTACAGAGGTGATTTAATTATGCATTGAATGAATTTAATTTTAAAAAGCTTATATATTTTAATATGTTGAAAAATAAAATGAAATAACCTCGTTAGTTTTAAATAGTGAACGTTATGATATTATGTCGATATTTTAAATTATCATATGTATACAATTTCCTGTAAATGTTTGTATCTAAGCGTTAATTAATAATTATTATATATATTTGAAAAAATTGTATTAATCCCAGTTATAATTGATTACTTTTACAAGTAGTCCGAATTGAAGGAAAAGTATTTTTATGCGTATGTACATTTTATCTCAGAAATTAAATACTTAAATTCATAACTATTACAGAGAAGAATGTCTGTTAACCTCACTGTTTACCTTACCACTGTTCAATATTAAATAATTTAAATAATTTAAACAGAGTAATTAGCTCTAGAAATATAGAGTGTAAAGTACAGTGGATTTTTTAGCAATTTGAAATTTAAAATTTAAAATGGAAACTT